ATTTTTCAGGAACGGGCGGTATGCAGGAAGGGAGCGGGCGTGGAAAGACGTCGCTCCCTGGCCCCGCGGGTCCCGGGCCTTTTTCTTATGGTAATGAGGGCCGGGGCGGAGCGGCCGCGTGGCTGCGGTGCCCTCCCTCCGTCCCGCGCGCGATCGCGGAGTCCACAGGCTCAGGCCTCCGGCAGAGCGCTCGCCGAGCAGACAAAGCCCGCGGCCGCTGTGGTGGGAGGAGCAGGTCTCCAAGCTGCGTGGGGGCCGGGAAGGGGCGTTGGGGTGGGGGAGGGGCCCCTCTTAGGGTCCCCCTCGTCTCTTAAGTAGACCTTCCCCTCCTCCAGCCCCCCAGTTCCGGGATCTCAGAGGCCGCGGCTTAGGAGGTGAGTTAGTTCGCGCCCCCGTGGTCCGTGCAGTGACCCGGTGAGGAAGAGGAGGCGCGGGCGGAGAGGATAGGGGTGCGGGGCTGCGCAGGGAGGCCGGAAGGGTCCTAAAGACTTCGTGTGACTTAGCTTGGGGCCTTGAACTCTGGATGTAGTAGGAGTGAGATTGGGAACCTAGATTTCCTTCTTTCCTGAGCCACGAGAACAGTGGTCATTTGTCCCTTAGGACTGTCATTCCGCTGTTTCACTGGCCTCTTACTTTTATTAGCCAGCAATTCAGCCCCTTTGACCCTAGAAATATGTTGAGAGAGATCAGAAATAACTTTTTAAGACTTGACAGGATTGAGAGGGAGTTGGATTGTACCGCAGTCTTCTTCGGCTCTACCCTAGATCTTCAGCACTTCTTTTGTCTAAGAGAAGGAATGGGACCGCGTCCAGAGGTCCTGAGGTCAGACTCTAAGAACCACCTTCCCCAAATTGGCTAGCAGTGAGTGAGTATGCCTCTGTGTGTAGGATGCCTTTTTTTTTTTTTTTTTTTCCTGGAGTACCTTGGGTAACAGAAACCTTAACTAGTCATGAGGTAAAGTTTTGCATAAAGATGGGGCAGTGAATTGAGGTAACCTCACAGAGAGGGCACAGTGAGGCCAGGAGGGCTGAGTTTAGGCCCACTTCCCTAAACTGGTTCTTGAAAAGAGTGAGTTCGTCCATCAGTCTGAGCAGAGTGCTGAGTGGTGGGTGGGAGGATCTGAGGATTTGTCCGGCAGGCAGGCTTTCCCCTTTCTATGAAGGAGGATTTGGGGCTGAGGAACCTGGGAAGCTGAGTAGGGGAGGGGATGCCCCTGTGTGGAGGATTGAACAGATTATGAACACATTTTATGGGATTGGATGTTTGTGCCCTCCAGCAGGAGTGGGAGAGGAAGAACCACAGAGTGGGCCGCTTCTGACTCCTGTCATCTCTCTGCCCCGGGACCTGGGCTAGTGCTTAGGAACATGGGGATTTCTTTAGGAGAGTTCCTGCTGGGGACCAGGTGATAGTGGGGCCACCAGCTGTTTTGAGCTTCCCTGTCCTCACTGAAACAAGATCCCCCCCAGAGTTTGCCCAGTCTATGCTTTCCCCTCCACTAAACCAATTAAGGCAGGAGGTTAATGACCAAAAAAGCCTTGGGGATTTGGTCAGGGAGGAAAACAAAGGGCAGAATCTCCAATGGGGAGAGGATGGCTGCTAAAGGGGAAAGGGACAGGCTGAGGATGGAGTGGACCCACGTTTCCCAGTGGAGCCCCCATGCAACAGGGGTGTCTCCATCCTCAGAGTGTCTTAGCACACCACACACACACTGATGGTCACACTGTGACTCCAGACATCCTCCAAGGCAGAGGAGAGCAGTGAGCCTGGCACTTGGAGGGCAAGGTATGTGTGGAGAGCTCAGGTGTACCCACAGGAACAGGTGTCTGCAGAGTGGACAGGTGCAGAGGAGCTGAGGGGGCAAAGAAACCACTCTGGCTCCAGCCTCCTTTGTTCAGGCTGATGTCACCCAGTCTGGGCTGCTGTGCATAAGCCCTGCTTAGCTTCCCTTCCCTGGTGCCCATCCACACCTAGGTCTATGAGGGTAGAAGCCTAATTTTAAGCCACTCCCTGTCCTCTGCCCTGTGACAGAAGGGTGTAGAGGGTGTATATTGGTCTCCTCTGGGACTCTGAGGAATCTGTATGTCTCCACCTCTTCTTATATACCTCTCTATTCCTGTCTCTCTCCTTCCCTCACCTACTCTTCCAGTTCCTGTTTTCATGCTAAGGAACCAATTGAATTGTGGACTTGGCTGTGAGCATCAGATACTTTTGTGTATATGTCTGTACTCATGGGTGCAGGGCAGGAAAGGTGACCCAGTGGGATGAGGTCCCTGTGGAGGCCTGAGGACAGGAGTGTGGTAGAAAGGGCATATTGTGAGACCCGTTTTCCTGTCTACTCTGGGCAATCTTGAGTACCCACCCATTCTCGGCTGTCTACATAGCAGATATCAAAGTCAAAGTACACACCTAATACCTGAACCCAGGAAGGGGAGGGAGACACGGGGGCTGTCACCAAGCCTCACCAAGCAGGCTAGCTTCAGTTCATTCCCCGACCTCTGTTGTCCTCCTCCTCACAGGCTGCCTGTCTGTCTGACTCATTCACTGCAGCCTCCCTCCATGCTTTGTGAGGTTTCCACTCTCCTTTTTATTTTTGTTGTATTCCACTTATATATCATGAGTGTGCATGTGCCACAGCCTAGACATGAAGGTCAGAGAAACTTGTGGGAGCAGGTTCCGTCTCCCTCCACCACGTGAGTCCCAGGGATTGAACTCAGGTTGTCCGGTTTGGTAGCATGTCCCTTTATCCACTGGGCCATCTTGAAGATCTTTTATGTTTTGTTTTTCAAGACAGGTTTCTCTGTGTAGCCTTGGCTGTCCTGGAACTCTCTCCGTAGACCTGGCTGGCTTTGAACTCCCAGATATCTGCCTGCTTCTGCCTCTCTGTTGGAATTAAAGGCGTGAGCTGGACTCCATGGCCTTTTTTTTTTATTTTTTTTTTTGAGACAAGGTAAATGTAACCAGGCTGGCCTGAAATTAATGTAACTGAGTAGCTGAGACTGGCTTTGAACTCCAGTCTGCACCTCTTAAGTGCAGACTGGAGTTCATATATTTGCAAATATTCACATTTTTGCCCCACCACACCTGGCCTATTTTCTTTTCTTTTTTTCTATTTTCTTTTCTTAATATCTCTTGTTGAAAATACATCGGGATGTCTAGCCTCTGCTGACATCCTTTCTTGTTGAATGTGCAGCTACTTTTCTCCCTTAGGCTGTAATACACTCAATGTGGTAATTTCCTTAGAACAGTTTTTCAGTGTGTATGTTTTGTATGTATGTTTATAGGAGTGTGTGTGTGTGTGTGTGTGTGTGTGTGTGTATGTGTGTGCTCTCGCGCCACAGCACAGGAGGCCACGGATGACTTGAGGGAGTTCTAGGGGTTAAACTTAGACTTGATGGTAAGCTCCTCTACCTGTGAGCCTTCTTGCCTGCCCTCAACTTATTTCAGCTAATGAGAATATATTGGGTAAAATTCTGCATGCGGTGTAAAAGTGATCTCAGGCTTGATCCCTGCTCTCATGGAAGCATAGGAACTGGCTTACATGGCCAAAGAGGGCAAAACCGTCTTTGGGGCTTGAAGAGCCACCAAAATTGTCAGGAAGGACAGGTCTCTCTGACCCTTTTGTCTCTCTGCCTGATCTCCAAGCCCTTTGCAGCCCTCATGCTTGGACCTGAACAGACAATATTTCTGCTCCCCAATGCCAGATCTCCTGTACTATCTGACTCCCCAAGGGAGAGCAACTCCAAGGGGCTGGGCTGGAGCCGGGGTCCCCCAGGACAGCTGGCTAACAAGGCCCCTCTGGGATTCTAGGCTGGCACCCCCCCCTTCAGTGATACTGGAGCTGTGACAGTTGGTCCTTGGATTCCCCACCCAGTGGCGCCAGCTCTGGTTTCGGGCTGGGTGAGGGAGGGGATTAGTTGCCCTCCTGGGGCAGGGAGGCAGTAAACATGTCTCCCTGTGAAGATTTTTTTCTCCCTGGGGCTGGTAGAGTGCTAGGTTAGACTAAGGAGGGGTTTGGGCCAGGGTAACTTGCAGGAAGCAATGTATAGTTAGAATGTTATGTACGAGGTCAGAGCGGGAGCGGAAGGTATGTGAAAAGTCTGACCCTTATCCTCATTTGCAGAGGACACGCGGCCCAGAGCCTGGGTTCTCTGACTCTTCTGTACTGTTGTTTCCTTTTCAGAAAGGGGCATGAGGAAGGACCTTCCATTTCCTGAAGCTTCTCTTCCTAGAGTCTTCAGTCTTTATGTCTAATCTTCTGTTATTATTTTATTCCATGCATTTAATGTGTGCATGTACCCTATTTATCCTGAATGTGGAAGTCAGTCCATTGTGAAGGTCCTAGGGATTGAACTCAAGGCCTTAGGCTTGGCAACAAGCACCTGTATCTGTAGGGCCATCTCACTGACCTTTGATATCTTCATAATTCCATGGAAATGTAATTTCTATCTGTGCTCGACATAAAGAGATCTGCAGCTCAGAGATGTTAAGTAACTTTCCCAGGTCACACAGCTGGTAACTGGAAATTCCACTGGTCAAAATTAAAGTTGTCTGATTCCAGCCCTGGGCCCCCAGAGGTAGACGGTAGCATTCAATACTTGGAGACCTCAGAGGGAGTGACATTTAAAGTTGGGAAAGTTTGGGGAGGCTTCGTGACTGAGGTGGGTCTGTTGGAATCACTAAAGAAGGAGTGAGGGTCACTGGGAGGGAGAGAACTTGGGGAGCATTTCTGGAGGTTGTATAGGTGGTGGCTGGTGAGGCTTGCTACTTTTTTTTTTTTTTTTTCTGAAACAGGGTTTCTCTGTGGCTTTGGAGGCTGTCCTGGAACTAGCTCTTGCAGACCAGGCTGATCTTGAACTCACAGAGATCCGCCTGCCTCTGCCTCTCCAGTCCTGGGACTAAAGGCGTGCACCCACCACTGCCCTTCTAGGCTTGCTGCTTTCACCCGTTCTGAGAAGCATTGAGTACGTGTGGCCACCAGGTGGCACTGCAGGACAGTCACCTCTGCCTCCCACGGGTCAGGCGGGCCAGGACCCAGGTGCTGCCACCTTGTGGAACTGTTGCTCTGTGCTCTGCCCTGCACACTCAAATTTGGTCTCAAACCCTCCGTTTTTGGCAGGACATCCAACACGTAGAAGACAGGATATCTTGATAGCAGTCTATTCTAGATGCAGACTGGAAACCCTAGGTGGCAGAGACCCTCCAGCAGCTGGCTCTGCCTTCCTGAGTCCAGATGACTGAGTCTGCAGGAAAATAATAACTACCTAATAAAGATTTGAATTTTTCACCCAGTGAGCACTGGTTGAACATTTATTGTGCTTCGCATTGTTCTAGGCCCTGGGCAGATACCAGAGGACAAGAAGGGTGAAGCCTGCCCTGGGGTGAAGCCAGTGTTCTATAGGGTCTTGGGTAGGTGACAGAGTGTGAATTAGTAGATGGTGTTCTTCTGGCAGTGGCAGACACTATCAAAAAAATAAAGCAGGGGTGGAGGCAGAAGGATTTGAAGTAGTCTGTTTTGGGGGATTTCTATTGTTTGTTCTGGGGGACAGAGTCCCACTGTGTAGTCCTAGCTGGCTTGGAACTCACTATGTAGACCAGGCTGGCCTCCAGCCTGGAGATTTGCCTGCCTCTGTCTCCAGAGGAATGCTGAGATTAAAGATGTTCGCCACCATACGAGGCTCATTTGTCTTACTTTGAAAGGTTCTCCCATAGTCCCATCTGGCTTGAACATAGCTAAAGAGGACATCACATGCCTGCCCTTCCTGTCCCCACCTCCCAAATACCGAGGTGACTAGCATGTTACACCACACCTGCCTGAGAAAGGATGGTCACTGAGCATTTCTCTGGGTGCCTGTAAAGCAGCAGGGTGGCTGCCTTTGTGGGTGCTAGTGTTACACCCACAAACTAGTGTTAGCTTGTTTCCTCTTTTTTGTACGCACTACTATTTCTTTGTCTGGAATCCTTCGCACTTCTCCCAGCTGTCCTACAGGGTGAACAGGCACTGGCTTAGGAACTAAGAGCCTCAACTTCTTAATTCTGGCACTGACCCCCAGCTTCCTAGTAAATGACATCACCACCCACCTGGTTTCCCAGGCCTGAAAACTAAGCCGTCTGGGATTTCTGCCTTTTCTATAACTTGTAGCCAGTGCTTCAACAAAGGCCTCTCAGTTAAACCTCAATGTATTTCCTGCTAGGCTGGAGAGATGGTTCAGTGGTTAAGAACACTGACTGTTCTTCCAGAAGACCTGAGTTCAATTCCAGAGGATTCAAAGCCCTCTTCTGGTCTCTGGGCACCAGGCACATATGAGTTGCACAAACATACATGTAGGCAAAACTCCCATGCATTTAAAATAGAAGAAAAAAATTTCCTGCCAGACATGGTAGGGTGATCTTTAATCCCAACACTCGAGGAGGCCAAAGGATCAGGAGTTCAAGGGTTGTTACATCTATCTACCAACCTTGAGGGCCATCTGGGCTACATGAGACCCTGTTGAAATGTATTTTAAAAAAACGAACAAAAAACACCCTAAAATGTTGCTTGAATGTTCTCTGTTGTTATTTATCCATCCAGGTCCCTGTGTGTGGTTAGAATGTCCTTTGTGGCCTGGTCCCTGTCCAGCTGAACCAGCTGTTCCTGTCCCCACTCTCCACCCTTTGCATAATGCTTGTTCACCTTGCAGGACAGAACTTGACTTGAATGACATCTCCCATAAACTTCCCCTGTCATTTCTGGGCGTCCTTATCATTTGCCACACTGTACAGTAACTGCTTTCGTTTGTGCTCTCAGTGCACTGAAAACTTGAAGGCTGGGATTAGATCTAGTGCTCTCTGCAATCCCAGTATCGGGTACATAGACACTCACTGTATAGAAGCTGGACATGTTCGTCTCTCAAAAATCCCCTGTCGCATAGCCACTGTCAGATACTCAGCTGCTTCTTCCCACTATACCTCCCACTGTGGCACCTCCACCCTCTGGCCCTCAGTCCTCGCGCCTGCAATGGGGTTCCTGCCTACACGGGATTTGACATGTCATGTCCTAGGTCCCTCTGAGGTGCAGCACCTAATCTAGAGCTAAACACTATGAATGCCATCCATGGTGCTTATTCTCTCTGGCTGATGACTCAGAAGTAATCTCGAAGCATACCCTTTTCCTCAGCCCTGGCAGGTAAAGTATGCATGGCTTTCACTCCCTTTCAGACCTCAGCTTGGAAATCACATGCTCTGGGATGACCTGATCGTGTCTACCTCCCGAGGCTGCTGTGGTGTCTTGTGCTTGCCCTTCATTTGCACTCAGCCCATGTGTTAAAAACCAGTTCACACGTTCTGCATGCCACACCAACATAAAAGCTCTCTTGGGACATCACCTGGGTGTCTCCAAAGTCTGGCATACAGCAGGTACTGCTGACAAATGTGTTTGTTGAGTCAATGAATGAATAAAAGAAAAAGTGTGTGGATTTGAGTAAGTCCCTTGGCATCCGTTGGCCACAGGGTGTTGATGTTTGTGGGTGAGTATTCACAACATGGGAGCCAGAGGAGGGCAACCAGTGTCCTGCTCTCGGCCTCTACCTTATTTCCTGGAGACAGGTTTTCTCCCTGGCCCTGAGCTAGAGCCAGCACACACCAGTGATGCTGTCTCTGCTCACACAGCACTGGAGTTACCGGCATGCATGCTTTTACCATGTGTGGGAAACCTGAACTCAGCCCTTCAAACTTGAGCAGCAAGCACTCTTTGTTCTTGAGACAGGGTCTAACTGCGTAGCCTGACTGGCCAGGAATGCACAGCCCGGGACCTACCTTAGTTTTCTCTCCTGTGAAGTGAGGACAAGAGAAGCATGGGGCACCCTCTGGTGTTCTGGAATCTGGTATTCTGACAAGTGTTTAGCAGCCAAGAAGGAAAGAAGCCCTGATTTGTAGCAATTGCCAGTTTCCAAGATAAACTCCCTCCCTATAACTGACTTCAGTGTGAGCAATGGGCCGTCACTGACACACACAAGCCATCCGTCTTCAGCTCTCATCACCATCATCACCACTGAGGTGAGGTGGTTCCAGCTAGAGACAGACTCTGGGTAATTTCTAGATTCTGTACTCTTCTCTACTCCCTCTGCTGCAGTTTCCCCGGGAGCCTGAGGATTAGATGTCAGTTGCTTCCTATGTACAGTTCCAGAAGTTAGAGAGGCTGTTTGGTGCTTCTTCGCCTGTACCTTCAAGCAACGTGTGTGCTCTTCCGGCTATTGACTGTACATGTATGTCCCTGGCAGCATTCACTGTCGGGTGGCCCAGGTCCTGATGTTCAAAGCTAGGCACGAAGGTGTTTACTAACAACCGGGATTCTGTGTTCTGTGACCTACCTGTCTACCCTGGTAAGTAAGGCTGGAGTTTGACTTCTGACCCTGCCGTGTCAGTCTCCCTCAAAATGCCTCATTCCTTCCCTAAATTTTCTTCCTTGCCTACCCTTCCTCTGTCCACATAGCCCCCCATTTCTTCTCTTCTCCCTTTAGTTCTTCCTGGCTATTCTAGCAGGAGCTTGCAGGTTGGAGGGTACCTGTTCACTACTGATGAACACTCTGCTCACCATCTCTGAGCCTGAGTTTCATGTCTATAAAATGAAAATAAGAGTAGCAGTTAGGCCTGGCACATGTCTTTAATCCCAGCACTCGGGAGACAGAGGCAGGAGGATCTCTGAGTTCGAGGCCAGCCTGCTCTACAGAGCAAGTGCCAGGATAGGCTCCAAAGCCACACAGAGAGACCCTTTCTCAAAAAACAAAAACAAAACGAAAAACAAACAAACAAACAAACAAAAGAGTAGCAGTTATTGTGGCCATTGAAAAGCCAACAAGCCAAGTATTGAAAGCACTGAGTACACAGAAAGTGTTTAGTAGGGCTGGAGAGATGGCTCAGGGGTTAAGAGCACTGGCTTCTCTTCCACAGGACCCAGGTTCAATTCCCAGCACCTACATGGCAGTTCACAACTGTCTGTAATTCTGGTTTCAGGGGATCTAACACCATCATACAAACTCGAATAAAGTTAAAGAAATTAAAAAAAAAAAAGGAAAGTGTTTAGTAAGGGAGGCATGTTGGGTGGGGCGGTGCTGGCTCTCATGTCTTTATTCCCAGCACAGGAGGCAGAGGCAGGCAGATCTCTGAGTTTGAGGCCAGCATAGTCTACATAGTGAGTTCCAGGACAGCCAGGGATACACAGAATCCATCTTGAAAATAAATAAATAAAGGGCTTAATGAGTGTTGGTGTTTGTTCTGTTTTTTGTTGTGGTTGTTGAGACAGGGTCTTACTCTATAGCTCAGGCTGGCCTCAAACTCTCGCTTCAACTTCCCAAATTCTGGGATTACAGGTGTGAGCTGTCAGGCCTGGCTATGTTAACTGTTTAAAAGGATTGTTTTCATTTATTTTTTGATTTTATGTGTGTGTGTGGGTGCCTACATGTTGCATATGGTAAGAGGACAACTTGTGGGAGTCCCAGGGTCTTCAGGCTTGGAACCTTTACCTGATCAGCCTTCTTGCTAGTCCTATGCTATTATTCAAACCTGTTTGATCCCTCAAGAGGCAAGGGGCTTTGTGTCTGCCCTCTATTCCCCCCTTCTCTTAGTAAGAGCTCCCCACTTATCTCTCGAGGATACTCATTGTTCTGTGAATGAATGAGTGAATGAATGAATGAATGAATGAACTAACGAACGAACGAACCAACCCTGGGGATGACTCCTTGAAAGCCTCCAGACCGGCCAAGAAGGTGGAGCTTCTTCCAGCCCTGTCAGCAGGTGGCGCCAGCCCCTGTCAGTTTGTTTCCCCGGCCAACTCCCTTGTGCTTCTCATGCTAAGGGTTCTCAGCTTGCTCTGGAAAGATGGGTTCCTGAGAACAGCCTTGGGATGCCCAGAAAGAGATAGGGTACTGCTGGAGAAAAGTGTCATCCGGGCCCGGCCGTGGTGGCGCACGCCTTTAATACGAGCACTCGGGAGGCAGAGGTTGGCTTATGTCTGAATTTGAGGCCAGCCTGGTCTAGAAAGGACAGCCAGGGCCACACGGAGAAACCCTGTCTCTGACAAACCAAAAAAAAAAAAAAATGAAGTGTCATCACAGGGAATGAGGGGCACAGACAGACCTTGAGAGTCCCAACATGACTAGCTCTCTTGGGGACATGAAATGAAAGTCACTTAAGTCAATCTGTGAGTCAAAAGCTGAGATCTAGGAAACACTGTGGGAGATGATGCGGTAAGGGGAGGCCCCGTTTCCATGGCAGCAGTTTTGTTTGTGGCAAGCTGGGGACTCCTGGGTCTCTAGTGCCCATGCAGTGAC